TACTACAACCAACAGTACTTTAACAATCCATAACTTTCTATACTCATCTTTTTCCATGAAAGTATATGTTGTGGGGCTGCTTTTCGGCGAATTTATTTTTTGTTCACGTTTATAACCAGAATTGTTGTTAAAATTTGATCCAATCGACAGAATTTTTGTTATACAACGAGACTCTGGTAAACATATTAACACTTTCTAAAAATATATGATTGCAAAATAAACTTCCAATAAATTATGGCTGTTTAAAAAAAAAAAAACATTTTATACGGCCATCACTTGACATATCGAGAACATGAGCATTCGGAACGTTGGAAAATTGCATCTGCCACATCATCGGCAGTAACAAATATACAAATGCATTTTCGATCCGAATACGTGAATACATGTATTGTTTGTTAGTTTACACTTTACAGATCGCTTAAAACTATTTGCGTGAATAGGTTTTTATCTGATAATACATACCATGCTCGGACTGAAAATCAAATTAGTAAAAACATCAACAGCTATAAATATAAAAAAGTGTGCTTGATAATTACATTGACATTAGGAATGGGAAGAAGTCCAACCAAGATTTTTTTATTATCAGAATTTGAGGTCCAGAATCCACTAAGGGAGTTCATGCAATAAAATGTTAGTGTCTTTAATGACTGATACAGATACCGTAATATAAACCAATAAAAACTATTCACAATTTACCATTATTTGAAGAACAATTTGCATTGTTTGTTATGTGAAAGCTTGACTCAGAGCAAATAGACGTTTCCACGTTAACTGCGAATGTTGTGTTATTCATTGAGATTCAGTCTATGTATTTCAGATAGATATCCATCCGAGATATTTTAGAATATCTGGATATTCAACGCAACTGCACAGCGCCAGAGCTGTGTGCGTCGCAAATAGAATCTACGGTATGTCGCGACGTATATGTGTATCAAGTGCCGCACGTACACAGTCACACTGTGTCTGTATTTTACGTGTAGCGACATACCGTAGATTCTACGTGCGACACTTACAGCTCTGGCTCTGTGCAGCTGCGTTAAATATCCAGATATTCTAAAATATCTCGGATGGATATCTATCTGAAATACATAGACTGTTGAGATTTGCTTTACAATAAAAATGTAATAATTTTTAGTTAATGAAATGTACTAACAAAGGTTTTAACCTTTGGGAAGAAAAAAATTATGATGGAAAAAGAGAATGAAATTTCAAAGTATACACATTTCATTCATATATGCAATGAGGTCTTGATAGAATTAAAATGTAACAAATATCAGAATATATGGATTCGAATTGTGTAATTCGATGGCGGTAGATAAACACTTTGAAAGTCTCTTGAATCTGTCCGCTATATTGTTACAAAATGAACTACGATTATATTTTTCATGTATTTTGATTTTTTCAATTGCAATAGGCTCCGCAGCAAGATTTGATTTTTCTAATCCAACGCGAACATCTATTTCAAATTGTCGCATATGTTCAACGAAATTCGCTGTAGTCACAATGAGAAATTGTCTCAAAAAAGCATCACCACACATTTTATCCTTATCATTTGAGTATTTATTTTGAATTGCCATGTGATACGAGAATCGTTCCACGTCCATCATCCTCGCCATCAATTGAACGAAGAGTTAATTTGAATGCAATATTTCTGCTAATGAAGTGTGTTATACAAAAAATATGAATCAAAATAAAAAAAATCTCATTTTAATGATTAAAAAAATCGTTTGGCAAATAATTCTATTTTGATTGTACAGACTCTTTTCAAGGTCAATTGTGTACTGGTTCCAAACACTGACAGTTCAACCCGCCTGTTGAATTGTCAAATAATAATATTTGTGTGTGAAACTGTCAAACATTTGAATATTTCATGATATAATAAACGCGCATGTCTCACACCGGAGTTTGTCTATTTGGTTTCACGAGAAGAGCTGTAGATGTTAATTTATAGTCAGAATACCATAATAGAAAAAAACTTCGTTAAAAAGACATTTGTTTTTAAATTGGTCTAGTGTTTTCACACAGATTTACCTTTGACACTTTACAGAAGTATCAAATTATGTTGACCTGAGACGAAAGTATCGCAGTCCAACAAAGGGGCTTGGAACTTGAAAAAAAAAAACTTCAAATAAATACAGTTTTGTATGAATTGGGTATATAACGGAAAATATTCCAAAATTTACGTGCACCATTCACCGCCATTCACATTACTGCATATTTACGATAACCACGAATATTTACAGTAACTTAAGTTATTTTTCACTACTCAAAATGTGTAAATATTCGTGAATATGCGTAGCTAACATTTAGCAAACAAAAAATTCTTTCGAGCCTCAAGACTCCACGAATTTGTTCGATGGAAAGAAAGGGAAAAAATGGATTACTTTTTTAAGCAAAAAAAAATATATCCCATTTTAAACAAAATAGCAATTTCAAGCAACCATCGAGCAGTTGAGATGATTTATAATATCACGACACAATGGCAACATTTACAGTCTCTTTTGTTATTTATTCACCACAATCATAATAACGTATGAAATTCTTTTGGCGCCTTCACATACACACATCATCTCGTTGAAAATGAAACGCTCACCCATTCATATGTTGCTGTTGTTGTTTTTTATCTCTTCTTGTTTCGATATAAGTAAGTTCACAACAATTTTCCGTTGCTATTGTTATTGGGTTCGACCGAAAAATTCATATTGGGCCATAACTCGTGGCATCGTTCTTTCATTTTGATTGCTTTGAAAACCAATTTCGTTTAAACGTATGGATATCATCAACGAACAAAAGTATCAATAGGATTTTATTTGGTAAAGTCGCTTGTTTATCAAACGAGCAAAAATTTGAAAGATCGAAAAAAAATGTTAATAAACAAAATGCGAGCGTTTCGTTTTAATGATGATGATGATCTCGTAATCAATTTTCGGATTATTACTGTAAGCCAAAAAATGAAAGTAAAACAAATACCATAGTCAGAATACTAGACATTGTGTGTTTGGTTTGTTCGATTTTTTCCCTCTTCGCTTCGGATTGGCATTTCCGAAGGAGATACCACTTCAAAAAATTGATCTCATGCCATTTATTCACGCATGCAAAATTTGTGTCTTCCGCATTTGAAATGTGTACAATTGTACATA